CTAATGAAATAAAAGGGACAACCTAGAAAATCTGCGACTGCCAATTACTTACCAGTTTCATGGTTATATAAAAGGCTCAATCAGACCTACAATCAAGTCTTTTATAAATGCCAAATTCACTGGTGGGTGAGGATGAGAGCAAATGTTTTAATTCAGGCTTTTTACAACCATTAGTAATGAACTGTGATTGAAATAAGTTCTATTGTTACAGTAACTCAAAATCATGCAAAAATAATAATTTTGGTTCTTTTATGAGAGGAAGGCAGAATATATTAGCATTTAATCTGCCTGAATATAACAGTGACTCACCAGAACTATCTAGATAGCAGTCAGTCATTCAGTCAACAACACTGAAGGCCTACTGCATGAAGCCTTGTTACCAAGAGGTAAAACTGGTGGTGTGGGTTCAGCTACATTGGTGTATTATAAATTTGTCCCCCACCTCCTTTTTTTTTTTTTTTTTCCAGGAAGCACCAACTAATAAGCTTCTCTATGCCAAGGATATCCCAACCTACAAAGAAGAAGTAAAATCTTATTACAAAGCAATCAGGGATTTGCCTCCATTGTCATCCTCAGAAATGGAAGAATTTTTAACTCAGGAATCTAAGGTATCGTTAGAAAGCAGAAAAAAAAGCTTGTATTTGGTTTAAGTCATTTCAGAATTTCTCAAAAAGTTTTTTTTTTTTAGAAACACGAAAATGAATTTAATGAAGAAGTGGCCTTGACAGAAATTTACAAATACATCGTAAAATATTTTGATGAGGTAAGATTTTAAATAACATTGTTATAAACCTATGAGTCAGGCATCAGGATGTGGTTATAGCATTCTGTCAGTTTCAGAACAGCTCTGGCATCCCAAAAGGCCAGAAAGGGATGCCAGGAAGCCTGTCTGAGATGGGGGATCCTGGCACTGAGCCAGACCCTGCACATGGCTGCCCCTCTTAAAGTTGTATCATGCTGCCCACATTTGGACCAGCCTAAATTTACATTTGAGTTCATGGGGCCTACAGCCACACTGACTCAAGTTAATACTGATGAATAAGTAGTGGCCCTATTAAATGGGGTCAGCTTATGCTTGATTGTAATCTGCTAAAAATGAAAGCTAAGCTTGTAAAATCTCCTAGATTCTGTATTCAATAGTTATATGAAATTATGACATATTTCTAACTTAAGGAACTATTTCAATAAACCATTCTCCTTTATGATTAATTCTCCTTAATCTGGGTTTTTTTCTTTGGAAATTCACACAGACACATTCATCAGATGCTTTGTTTCCAAACATATGTTAACTCCCCCTTCCCTGATTCCCCCCCAATCAGTCATGCTGGGACAGGCTATCCATGTCAATGGTGAGAATAGCTCACCAATTCCATTTGCTACTTGAAGATCAAGTGAAGCTCTAAGGTAGGGTAGAGGCAATGAGTTCCTTAAACATGATAAGCATCCCTCTTTCCAGGGGTCAGGGGAGAGAAGGGAAGCACTGGGGAAGGGAGGGAAGAGGAGGGACTATACTGCCCAGATGGGAGGGAAGGGAAGGATCTGTCTCTGACCAGGATGTCCCTGCCTGCTGCATTTAAGGAGAAATACTTGCCTGCATGTTGGCTGCCCAGGAATGCTTGCTGTGCTTGGAATGGCTGTGACATAATGCATAAAGCAGGGCCTTGGAAGCCTGGCCCCATATTTGAAAGCAAATAGTTGGTATTTCTTGCGAGCTTCTATTTTAAGCCAAGGTATTGTTGATCCTGTGATAATGACTTAGCAAAACAACTTGCAAAGTGAGTACGTAAATGATGGAAGAAAATGTTGGCATCTGTTTCATACAGATTTTACCACTCATACCATCAGGTATGCAAAAAACAGAATTGTAATGCTAAAACCACAATATCTAAAATAACTGTTCTAATTGTCAACAGATTCTAAATAAACTAGAAAGAGAACGAGGGCTGGAAGACGCTCAGAAACAACTCTTGCATGTAAAAGTCTTATTTGATGAAAAGAAGAAATGCAAGTGGATGTAAGCACTCTGGGCCCTGGCTTAATCTGGCAAAGTTCTTCAGACGACTTGGGAGCAAAATGGCTGCTTGAGCTACTCTATGTCGTTAATTTCTTGTTTGCACATAGGTTCCACTTTGAGCACTGTCTTTTTAAGAGACCAAGGCACATGCACAGCTTTTAGAAAGCATACCAACTATTGTGCCTGTGTGTATACTGTGGGAACCCTTCTGTAAATAGAGTTGAAGTGGTTGTTGCAAACAGCCTCCTTGTTTACAGAGAATACAGGGCCAGTAAGCGAGGGTCAGTATTGTAACTACAGTCTCCACTTAAGCACAATGATATAAGTGGTTTTATCTGAAAACTACAGCTATGTAGCACTTGTGCTACACTGCACCTCTGCATTGTAAAGGGATACTGTCAATGCTCAAAACAAAATGTGAAATGAGTCATCTGGAAACAAGGTGGGGGTGTTAAGGCAACCTCGAGGATTTGCAGCATTGAAACTTTCCCCAGTAGTTCTTGGAAAAGGCGACCGCAGAATTTGGTAGTGTACACTTAGCATTTGTGAGTGTGTGTGTGTGTTTAAACCAAAAACTAACAGTGTTGCAACATTGTTGAAAGGGCTCGTGTTTTTCAGTGGTCATCAACTGCACTCCATCAGACTCACCTCCATTTCACCAAGGACCTCTAAAGTAAGGAGAGTGAGTGGGCTTTATTTAAATGAACAGCATTTTAACCAGATACTTTGTTCTAATGTATGTTCCTTTTTTTCCCATCTATTTTTTCATACTAAATGTATTTGATAGTGGACATGTTGGATATTATACAAAAAAATCATTAATTCGTTTCAAAACCTTTGATCAGAACAATCTGTGGAAAAGTAACCCAATTTCTATATGAGTGTCTCCTTGCTTTAGATTTCTGGTGAACCCTGTGGTTATAAATTCTTGTGTGTGATTTTAAAAAGATACATTTTACATTTCATCAAATTGCTGTTCACACTGGAGTATTATATATAAATATATATATTTGAGGCCCAAGGCCTAAAAAATATTAGTATACAACTTGGTATCTTAGTCTTACTATGTACTTTTGGAAAGTATTCCTCACAGGAGAAAGAATTTAAAATGCCCATTTATTCATGCCTTTCTTTTTAAAGAATTCTCTATCCAGTTATACTGTAGTCTTTTTAGTGCTGATTTTTTATTCCTGAATTTTTGCTGCTCATGACCAATTTTAATACCACTGTGTTTTCCTTCTATTAAACCAGAAGAAGTAAACAGCATAATTGGCAACTCTTGAGCTTTTCTTGTGGCAGGCACCTTTTACCCTTGGTGCTCCAAATTCCCCCTCTAGGAAAGAAATTTTTTCAAGTCAAATAACATTGATCACATATTCCTTGAAATCATTTACCAACAATCTATGGAGCATCAGGATTTAAATATGGATTTGTCTTAGATAAATGCAATTCCTTTTTGCTCCTGAATTATCTGGAAAAGCATGAGAGTGGTGACACCTCTACAAACTGATCAGAGAAAATAAGCAGTTACTACCCCTGATAGGCACCTTCCCGATCCTGTTGCTTTTGACCATTGTCTGTCCGATGGACACACCTCAAACAAAACTACCAAATAGGTTACCTATCAGAATAAAGGTGAGAGAGAGGTCTGGTCCCCATCTAAGGCTGCTACAGTCTTCAAAGAGGCGAAGTTCATAAGAGAACAAAAGTAGGAGAGTTGAGAGCCAAGAGTAGGAGAGTTGCCCAAAAGACTTCCCCTACTTTAGGGTACTAAAAACTCAAAGGATCAGCTACAGCTTTATCTAAGTATTTACTAAATGCTACATGAGGGTGTCCCTGTCCAGCTTTCTGGCACATGAGTCCTGTGTGGAGAGTTACCTCCTCTTCCAGGGACTGTGCTGTTGGGAACTTTGGGCAAGTCACTTACCTCTTTGTGCCTCAATTTCTGTATAATATTTCTAAACTACCTCACTGAGGTGGTATGAAGATTCACTAATGTATGTAGCGTGTTTGTCAATCCTCCAGTGAAAAGCACTATCTAGATCACATTTTGGATCACATTAGCCAAATGCAGTAAATGGCCAAATTAGATGTGTGCTGAAGACAATCAGTCACTGGGTCTATATTAAACAGCAACCAGAGCAACAAATGGCAAACAATTTCTATTTTCAAGTTTCTTTGCATATTTTTTTGGTGCAAAACAATTCATTTATAAAAACTTTTTTTTCTAACACTAGTGTCTACAGCAGCATTTAAAAAATTCTGTTACCTTTTCTGTATTAGGATTTAAAGTCTATTTCTTATTGTATACCTGATTGAAGCTGTTCTTCGAGATGAATGTTTTAAATGTCTATATCCAAAAAATAAACATTTTGATGTAACTGTGGACTGTCTTTTTTCCATTTTCTAGTTAGGATAAAAATCTATTATAAATGGCTCCATGGAAATTATTTTTCAGAGACAAGGTATCACTGTATACACTGTGAATAAGCAGCTATATTATGTAGTAAGTAAACCTAGTTTCTTGCTAAATGGTGCTAAGGACTGCTCAATTACAATCCTGGCCTCCACTATCAACCTGGACCTTAGACCTTTGGATAATGAACTTAATTTGGGAGACCTGAGCTTTCGCCTCATTAACATGGAATTATTCCAGCAGAATTCCTCTAAAAGATGTCACATTTAAAAAGCTTCCAATGGGCGTAGAGTAAAAAAAAAATAAGCATACTTAGGGACACAAATAAAACACATAATTATTTGGTTAGCTCCACAGCAGTGGGGAAGTAAAGTTAAATTCCAGCAACCCTTATAAAGGTACCTACCTGGGTTCAAGTATTACAATCAATGGCCCACTTGTTAATACTGCCATAGGATTTAATTAGTTGCACTTACTCTCTATTCTAATGAAGCCAAAATCAGTAGACTGTCATCATATTGCCAAATATATGCTATATGGTTGATGTAAAGTTAAACACAAGACAATATGTAGATTAAAATATTTAAGCTCTTTAATTATGTGCACACAGCTTTTAGAAAAGGTAGCCTTCTGTAATGTATGTAGATACCTTTACATTCTTTATGCTGACTTTTAAATTGTCATCTTTTTTCAACTACAGTTTTTTGTATATAGTAAACCAGAAGATGTGTATGGACCCAGTTATTGCCAAGCATTTTGAAGAGGGAATTAATGATATTGTTCTACATTCTCAAACCACTGTCAAATATTCTAAATATATGTGAGACTTTTAATGCTTCACTTGTAGAATTCTAAAATCTGTATGATAGTCACGCAATACAGCATGTAGTAGGTACCTTTTCTTGAGGCACGTTCAAGTGTTTTGGCAAACAGTAAAATGTATCTAAATGCCACAGGTTAAAACGTCAAGTTTTACTGAGTCACCGACTTCACCTCTTTTGATCTGCCTGTTCTCCAAGAACATCATTCTCCAGAAGATCCAAGTTCCTCTAATTGTTTTCTTTGTGTTGTTTCCAGTTCTTCTAGTCTTTTGCGAAGTAGAGAGAGTTCCCTTTGATGTTGTTCCTCCTTAAAATGATGTAGAGAAAGCATAGCAAAAGAAACTATTAAACAAACTAGTATAAAAGTAACTGTTAGGCAGCAGCCTTAGTCTGCCTCTTTTACATATGCCTATAGTATCTGGCAAGGAAGTGCTGACCACTGTAGCAGTCTAAAAAAAAGTAGCATGGGCTAAACTATCACCTATTTTGCTTCTCTCCTGCCTCAGGCTCTAGCCTTAAGCAACACCCGTAGTCTGTTCTTCACTAGGTATAAAATTCACCAGGGAGTGAATTAGAAAATATTAATGCCGGGCCCAGGTATACTTACATGGCAACTTTCCAACAACACTGGTGTTTAACAGAAGTTTATTATAAACAAAGCACTTGGCCTGAGATTCAATTCAGTGATTAAAATCATCTGTGCTTACAATATTATAAAACATAATTACTTATTAATAGTCCATCTTCTAAAAACGAATCAAACAATCTGATTTCTTCAATACCTCAGGGGCCTGATACAATAGAAATAACCCAGGTTTTGGGTTCAATGGGTTTAGGTTTGAAACTTAGTCACTTATTAGCTATGACCTTACGCAAGTCACTTCACTCTTAGTTCCCCTATCTATGAATTAGGAATAGTAATATCTGCCCTCAAAGCATTTTTCGTTAGTATTAGACATTGCATGGAACACACACAGTTCACTGCATTAGTAAATGCTCAGTAGTCATTAGTATTAACATTATGAGTAAGCTACAAACTCTAGGTTACTCAAGGACTCAATCAAATTTCCTCTTTTCAATTGCCCAGTAAGATATTTCACTCCCAGCACCATCACTAAAGAATCATGATTGAAACCGAAATCAGCAAATTTCTATGATAAATGAAAGGGAAGAAGTTAAAACTGCTTTTAAATGTTTATGCCATTTTTGTGGTGAATTTTGAGCACTGACCAAAGTTATAATTTGAGTTTTATCACCACATTTAAATATAAAGACGTACAAAAATGTATGACTAACTCTTTTTTTCCCCTAAAATAAATGCTCATACCTGCATGTGAGGAGGAAATGGTAGTTCCATGCTTGGAACCATGGCTGGTGACTGAAAGCTAACAGGATTGATAGATGCTGTTGGAGGCATGTTAGGAACCAAAATTAGACTTCGAAATTCATTATGTCTTCTCTGTATATCTTTTAGTCTTTTTTGAAGCCTGGTATAGTCTTCAAAAGGAACATTTTGTCTTAAAGAGAAAAAGAAGTGTTTTTTAAATATGGTTATACCCTATTGAAGCACAGTATGATTCACAGAATATAATTTTAAACTGGAAGAGAAAGATTTCTAAGTTATGAGATCTATCTATATATAATATATAAATAAAAAATCTGTTTACCTAGAAAGATAAACAGAAACATGATATAACATCTTAATCATATGCAATCATTAGCATTGCAGGCTATCATCTCATTATAAAGTTTTATTTGCTAATTAAAGATCTAAAATCTTTTGATACTTTGGTACTCATTCCTCCAAATTCACCCTCCCACTCACCTCCATTCATGAATCCTGAATCTAAAGGGAGATTCTTTAAACCAAAAGAGTGCCTTATCTTACAGAAAGAATCAAATAAAAATACAGTTCATCCCTCAGTATACACATGGGATTAGTCCTCATATATCAAAGCCTATGCATACTCAAGTCCTGCAGTCAGCCCTGCAGAACTCACATAATGGAAAAGTTGGATCTCTGAACTGGTGGGTTTCACATCCTGTGAATACTGTATTTTCGATCCATGTTTGCCTGAAAAAAAATCTGCATATAAGTAGACCCATGCAATTCAAGCCCATGTTGTCAAGGGTCAAGTGTAAAGAAAATGCTGAATTGAACCTTACAAAATTGCCATTTTTATAGGTGAAATATGGACAAGTAGAGAATTTCACATAGTTCAATCTAATTTTTTAAATGTCAGTATGATATTATAGTAAGAAATACATATTTGGTCTTTGCCCTGGTTCCTGGCACACAGCTTCTAAAACTCTGGGAATCTCTGCAGTGATAAGAGTATCTTTTGTGTATTAATAAGACGACTGGTGGCTGCGGGCCCCTGAATAGCTTCACAATGGGGCAGGTCACCAGAAAAACCAAGGCATGATTAGAGGGTTGGAACTTTCAGCCCCACTCTCCAACCCTACCCCATAACATCTGGGAAGGTAGAGGGCTAAAGGTTGAGTTGATCACCAATGGCCAATGATGTAATCAATCATGTCTATGTAATGAAGCCTCCATAAAAATCCAAAAGGACGGGGTCAGAGAGCTTCTGGGCTGCTGAACACATGGAGGTATCTGAAGACAGGCATGCCCAGAGAGGGCATGGAAGCTCCACATCCCCTTCCTCGTACCTTTTCCTATGTATCTCTTTTAGTTGGCTGCTCATCTATATCTTTTGTAATATCCTTTCTAATAAACTGGTTAACATAAGTGAAGTCTCCTTGTGTTTTGTAAGCTGCTCTAGCAAATTAATGGAACATGATGAGCAGGTCATGGGAATCCCAATTTATAGCCATTTTTAGCCTGTCAGTCAGAAGCACGGATTACAACCTGGAGCTTATGGCTGCATTCTGAAGTTGGGGGGCAGTCTTGTGGGACTGAGTCCTCTACTTGTGGGATCTCATGCTAAATCCAGGTAGATAGTATCAGACTTATAATTACTGAATTATAGGACACCTAGTTCATGTCCATTGGAGAACTGATTAATTCATATATAGGAAAAAACCTCAAACATCTGGTGTCAGAATTGTTGTGTTGACTGTGTGAGGATAGGAAAAACACTGGTTTTTCCTATTATAATAGGTAATCACAAACGTGAAGCTCCACGACTTTAGGAGAGAATGACATGGAGAAAAAAGGCTTAATTTCCAGGCCTTCACAGATCATCATCTTTTTGGACATGACATTCATAACCATTAATCACAAAAGTAGTCAAATATAATTTCAAAATCAGTCAAAATTCTAGATGATCTGCACCATAGCTGGCCAATCTTGAATTGCTAACATTTCAATATTGTTTATGGAAGAGGAAGTAAGTTTAATTTTGTTTTAGAAGGACTGAGCCAGGAATGGTGGCTCATGCTTATAATACCCGTGCTTTGAGATGCTGAGGCAGGAGAATGGATTAAGCCTAGGAGTCTGAGGCTACAGTTAAGTATGATTGTGCCACTGCACTCACCCTGGACAACAGACCAAGAGCCTATTAAAGAAAAAAAAAAATTGAAACAAAATTCAAAATTACAAGCATGTTTGTAATTTATAAATTACTACAAAATTAATAAACTAGAGGTGGCTTGCTACTTTGGAATACAGTATTGTAAGGCTGGCAGTAATTCTACAGTCTAGAAAACTCTAGAATGTTCTTTAAAAAACAATTGTTCGCATTTTGATAATAACTGCACCCAAGAACACCAGTGCACATCATAAAACATCACTGCATGATATTATAGGCAATTTCCACTACAGAAAATTTGAATACTTAATAGCTAAGGTGCTGGAGACTACCACTAATTCACTAAAATCAAAAGATTTTTCTTAACTTGAATCAAACGGGTCATATAATGCCACTACCACCAACTTAGTATGACAAATCTCTGCCTTTAAAAATACTGACGATCCTGATCATCGAATATGCTTGGATGTGACTGCAAAACGCGAAACCATAGCTCAATAACTCTTCACACCAGGAAACCAAAAACTGACCTTTGATTCAAAGCTGTAGCCACAACTTTCAGAACTACGCAACAGCTACAACTGTCTTGTCTCAGCAGCACGAGCTGACACCACTCCTAGCTACCAAAGTCAGTGACCTTTTCTGTTAGTCCAAACATAACACTAACACCTGGCATGTGATAGAGACCTTTTGGTTTGGAGGAACCTTCAGTTGGGGGGATAAACAGAATAGTCCATTAGGAGTTATCAAGCTGTTTTAGCAATCTTTTAAATGCACATTTTAAAAGAAAAGAAGGTATGTTATACTTAGAGATTAAGTTCTATGACATCAAAATCACCACATGGGGAAGATACATATACAAACACATTACCTATTTAACACCTGATTTTCTGTTTCCAATTCTTCTTTCTTTGCCTCCAAGACTTCTACTTTCTCCCGTAGTCTTTTCAATTTGTTTTCATGAAGAGATTTTCTCTAGAAAAAGAGAAATATGAACAAGTATGTCAATACATAATCTCTTATTTGAACTAAACTATATAGAAAATATTTTGCTCACCAAAAACTGTATTTATATATGAATGTTTTCAGTGAATACTAGGAAAAAAGATTAGTAGACATGGCTCTTACTGAAAATTGCAAAGACAGTAAACCACAAATCTATTATCCTCAATGTGACAAATAATTATGAATGCCAAACCAAATAATAGGTATCAATAATTGCTGCAAATAAAAAAATCTACAAAGAGAAGGAGTTAAATTTTACTATTGGGTCTGCCTGTACATCTGATAAGAAATAATGAGCTCCGCTGGGCTTGGTGGCTCACACCTGTAATCCCAGCACTTTGGGAGACTGAGGTGGGCGGATCATAAGGTCAAGACATCAAGACCATCCTGGCCAACACGGTGAAACCCCGTCTCTACTAAAAAATACAAAAATTAACTGGGCGTGGTGTCATGTGCCTGTAGTCCCAGCTACTTGGGAGGCTGAGACAGGAGAATTGCTTAAACCTGGGAGGCAGGGGTTGCAGTGAGCCGAGATCGTGCCACTGCACTCCAGCCTGGCAACAGAGCGAAACTTTGTCTCAAAAAAAAGAAAGAAATAATGAGCTCTCCATTGTCCCAGAAGACAGCATGTGTTTATGAGAACTGAGCCAAGCACAGTGGGAGTCTGAGGCAGGAGGATGGATTAACCCTAGGAATTCAAGGCTACAGTTAGCTATGATTGTGCCACTCCACCCAACACAACAGACCAAGATCCCCCATCTTAAAAAAAATAAAATAAAATAAAATTCAAAATTACAAGCATGTTTGTCATTTATAAATTACTACCAAATTAATAAAGGGACAGAAAGCTAAGACAGATATGGATGCATCTGTTTAAAAGTTGCCTTTCTAAATCTTAGAAGGAAAACATTTAAACTTTATAATATACAAAGAATTCCTAAAAGTAAATCTTGTATGGTTTTATTAAATAATATTGAAAAGTCCAGGTAAAATGCAAAAGAAGTAAATGGAAAAAAGTCATATTTTTTTCAGTTTTTATGCACAGATCTTTTGTTTTTTAATAGAAAACACCTATAATGTTAAAACTCATTTAGTAGCTACAAACCTTTTAGTTATTTTTCTTCTTAACTGAAGTATAATCCTATAGAAAAATGCATGGAATACAAATGTAAAGCTCAATGAAAAACCTCAAAATAAATGATGGCACGACTCCCCTGTAGGTCAGAGCACTACCATGCTAAAAGGACCCTGCCTTTCCCCTTTCCAGTCGCTAGCCCCACCATCCTCTGAAAAGGTAACCAACTAATTTACTTCCAAAACTCTAGTTTACTTTTGCCTATTTTTGAACTTCATATACAGTGTGTATTCTTTTATTATGACTTTATTTCACTCAACATTGTGAGATGTTATACACTTTATTCACTGCCACATATTATATTCCACTTATGATTACTGCATAGTCTAGTATATTCACTCAGCATACCATTAAGAGTTATCTACATTGTTTCTGGTTGGGACTATTACAAATAAGTTTGCTACAAGTATTCTTTCTCATGCTTTGATTGTCCCACATCCTCCAATATCCCAGAAGGCTTTCTTATGCTCCTGTCTACCCTGACAAAGGAACTACTCTTCTGGTCTTTATCACCATAGGTATTTACTTACGTATTTATAGATAGTTAAGGAGTCCATCTATCCATCCACCCATTAATATGAAAGAAAGCATAAATGTATGCTCTTTTGTATCTGGACTTTTTTCCTCAACATTTTATCTATATGACTAAGCCGTGGTGTTGTATGTCACAGTTTTTTAACGTTGTCATCCATTGTACAAATATACCACATTTTATCCATTTTCCTGTTGATGAAAATTTAAATTGTTTCCAGTTTGGGGATATCATAAAACATTTATGAACATTCCTAAACATGTTTTTGGCAGAAGTACCTCATTCTCTTGTGTATATATCTATGAGTGGGTCATAGTGTATATACGCTTTAGCTTTAGTAGATACAGCTAGTTTTCTAAATCAGTTCTACCAACTTCATGACCACCAGCAATATGTGAGAGTTCTGCCTGTTCTACGTTTTAGCCAATACTTGGTATGGTCAGTCTTTTAGCTATTTTGGTGAAATACAGTAGTATCTCAATGTAGTTTTAATGTGCATTTTCCTTAGAGCTAAAGATATTGAGAGCTTTTTCTTATGCATGTTAGTCACCTGGATCTCTCTCGTTAAGTATCCATCCCAGTGTTTTGTCTATTAAAACTTTTGAGTAACCTGGTTCCTATTTGTAGTTCTTTATATATTCAAAATATGAAACATTTGTCATATATATATGTATTGCAGATTGACCTTCTCCAGACTGTGGTGTCATTTTCTTACTCTTAAGAGTATCCCTTAATAAAAAGTTTTTAATTTAAATAAAATTACATCAATCATATATTTTATAGTAAGTGCTTTTTGCATCCTGTTTATCTTTACTATCCCAAGATCCTAAAATTTTCTCCCAAGTTTTCATCTAGAAGCTTTTTTTAAGAAAATCTTTTACACTTAGGTCTATGGTTCTTTTTTTTTTTTTTTTTTTTTTTTTGAGACGGAGTCTTGCTCTGTAGCCCAGGCTGGAGTGCAGTGGTGCACAATCTTGGCTCACTGCAACCTCTACCTCCCGGGTCCCGGTTCAAGCAATTCTCCTGCCTCAGCCTCCCGAGTAGCTGGGATTACAGGCATGTGTCACCATGCGCAGCTAATTTTTGTATTTTTAGTAGAGACGGGATTTCACCATGTTGGCCAGGCTGGTCTCGAACTCCTGACCTCGTGATCTGCCCACCTTGGCCTCCCAAAGTGTGGATTACAGGTGTGAGCCACTATGCCCTGCCTTTGGTTCATTTTTATCTATGTTGTGAGGTTGGGCTGAGTTTAATTAATTGACTCAGTACTATTTATTTGAAAGACCATCCTGTATTGAAATGCAGTGGTACCTTAAGTGTAAACCTATTTCTGGACCCTACACTGTTCCATTTGTCTGTTTATCCTTATGCCAATACCACAATGAATTACTGTAGCATAAGTTTAGTGTTGATATCTGGTAGTTAAGTCCTCTAGCTTTACTGTTCTTCAAGACTGCTTTGGTTATTCTAGTCCTTTGTACTTTCAGATGAATTTTAGAATCTACTTTCTAATTTCTACAAAGAAACCTGCTGAGATTTTGATTAGAACTGTATTCAACTTATGGATTAATTTGGGAAGAACTGACGTCTTAATACTGAATCTTCCAACTCATGAATATGGTACAGTTTTCCCTTTATCTAGGCATTTTTAAATTTTTCTTAGCAATATTTGTATTTCTGTGTAGAGGTGAGGTCATAAACGTCTTTCACTAGATTTATTCCTAGGTATTTTATATATTTTTATGCTATTGTAAATAGCATTGAAATATTTTCTAATTATGTGTGTAAAGAAAAATAGTATTTGTTACTTGACTTTGTATCTAGAAATTTTAAAAATTCACATTAATAGTTGAATTTTATGCATGCACAGTGACATTTGTGAATGATAACTTCCTCCTTTCTACTCTTTGTCCATTTCTTCTTTCTTAAAACATTTTTTAGGTTCAGAGGACCATGTGCAGATTTGTTTTATAGGTAAACTCATGTGCAGATTGGTTTGATAGGTAAACAGATTACTTCATCACCCAGGTACTAAGCCTAGTACCTATTTTTTTCCAATCCTCTCCTTCCTCCCATGCTCCACTCTCAAGTAGGCCCCAGTGCCTGCCATTCCCTTCTTTGTGTCCATGTGTTCTCATCATTTAGCTCCCACTTATGAGAATGAGAACATGCAGTATTTGGTTTCCTTTTCTCATGTTAGTGTGCTAAGGATAATGGTGTCAATGCTCCATCCATGTACCTATAAAGGACATTATCTCTTTCTTTTTTATGGCTGTATAGTATTTCATGGTGTATATATACTGCATTTTCTTTATCCAGTCTGCCATTGATGGGCATTTAGGTTGATTCCATGCCTTTGCTATTGTGAAGTGTTGCAATGAACATATGCATGTGTGTGTCTTTATGGCAGACCGATTTAAATTACTTTAGGTACATACCCAGTAATGGGATTGCTGGGTCCAATGGTAGTTCTGTTTTTTTCAGCTCTTTGAGGAATTAGCACACTGCTTTTCCACAATAGTTAATTCGTACTCCTACTAACAGCATGTAAGTATTCCCTTTTCTCCACAACCTCGTCAGAATCTGTTATTATTTTTTAATAGCCATTCTGACTGGTGTGAGACAACATCTCATTGTGGTTTTGATTTGCATTTCTCTAATGATCAATGATATTGAGCTCTTTTTCATATGCTTGTTGGTCACACGTATGTCTTCTTTTGAAAATGATCTGTTCATGTCCTTTGCCCACTTTTGATTGGGGTTGTTTTTTTCCTTTAAATTTAAGTTCTTTATAGATGCTAGATAGACCTTTGTCAGATGCATAGTTTGCAAATATCTTCTCCCATTCTGTAGGTGTGTATACTCTGTTGACAGTTTCTTTTGCTGTGCAGAAGCTCTTAAGTTTAATTAGTACCCATTTATCAATTTTTGCTTTTGCTGTGATTGCTTTTGGCATGTTCGGCATGAAATCTTTGCCAGTTCCTATGTCCTGAATGGTATTGCTGAGGTTGTCCTCCAGTGTTTCTATCGTTTTGGATTTAAGTCTTTAATCCTTCTTAAGTTGATTTTTGTATATGGTGTAAGGAAGAGGTCCAGTTTCAATCTTCTGCATATGGCTAGCTGGTTATCTGAGAACCATTTAATGAATGGAGTGTCCTTTTTCCCATTGCTTTTGTCAGCTTTGTTGAAGATCAGATGATTGTAGGTGTGAGGCCTTATTTCTGGTTACTCTGTTCTGTTCCATTGGTCTATGTGTCTGTTTCTGAATCAATATCATGCTGTTTTGGTTACTGTTGCCCTATA